GTTAATGACTGGCTGGTGTTTGCTCAAATTATGAAACCGTTCGGGGTAGATGGAAGATGTTGATGTTTGCATTGGTGGCGTCCAAGTGTCACACACCAAGGTACGAAGCCTTGGTCAGATCCCTCATGTACTAAAGTCATCCATCGAATACCACTTGAACAACTTGGTTGCACTAGTGTGCTCGATCGCGAAATGCCGCATGAACTCGTTGAAGTGCCTCCACTCAAAACGCATTGGCGATGACAGTGGTTTTGTAGAGCATGTCAATGCTAGACGGCAATTTGAAGTGCGTGATAAAGCACCATGGGAGTTGGAGTGTGCAGGCAATGCTTGTCGAGAAGGCTGGTGCAAGATGTGAAACGGAGGTGGTTGATTTAAAATGAACAAAGACAACTTCACGAGAGGATGCCTATATTGGCCGTCTGGCGAACATTGAAGGCTGTGGCGCAGATCGAGGCGCCTCCAGCACACCTAGCCACCAATTGAGACAGGCCATGTTGTCTTCCGAATGGAGGGAGTGATGAGGTTCAAGGGTTGGCCAATCACGAAGGGGTTACCTTGTTGTAGCGACTGACCGTATGCAAGTTGGATCGCTGGCCAAAGTAACTCATTGGATTTGTTAGTGCACATGTGCTTTGCCAGACCTGGGGCATCCAGCTCACCTCACTTCTTCGCTGAACACTTCTTTGAGTCCAAAATCATTCACAACTGGTCATGGCTGTCAGCGTTTTTGCCGAAAAGAGAGTTTTGTCAGCAGTGAAATCACCAAATTGACTGGAACATCATCAAATGCAAATGAAGCCAAACTGATGTTCAATTTTTCTGCCAAACTGAAAAACGGGATAACGCACACCAGGTAATTCAAAATTTCGGTAATTTGGAAATTCCGAGGACACAAGTCGTTCAAGTTGCAGGAGCTGATGCTTGTGGATTCGGTCCGACCAGGATTTATCGCAAGGAAGACACGCCACGCAAACAAAAACAGAAGGACCACCCACAAGGCATTAGTAACTCGCTTCCTCTCTCGCTCTCTCTCTGCCCACAGCCACGCAGTTAAGCCAGTGCCTTGGCCGTTGGTGATAGCTGCCCGACCAGGGAGATTGGGTTTTATTTTCATGTGTACAGCAAATCTGAAACGACCAACCTACGTGGCTGTCATTAATGTGGCAGCTTTTGCGGCTTGTTGATTTACTTTGAGGTGGTACTGTGAGCGCACAATCTACTTCGTTCGGCAGTCTGGGCGTCAAGACACGAGACTTGTGTGAGACCGGCTATGTCATGTGACTTACTAAACAGATAAGCGAGGTCCCACTAAAGCAGCAATTAAGTACGGTTCCAAATGCGCAATACACATAGGCCAAAGTGGATATATTGACGATAGTGCGTGGGCACAATATAAACTCTGCAATGTGGTGTGTAGACTTCTTGATGACAGCCGAATTTTTCTGGAATCAACGTAAAACGAGTGAATCGGAACCAAATCTCGCCCTTTCAAGACATCCACTTGCAGTGTTTTTCAATAACCTCTAAGCAGTGCCAAGCATGGAAACGGTTTCCTCGAATGATCGCGTGCTAACAACCACCACCAGAAGACTCTCTGTCTACTTCTGTATATTGCGAAAATGTTGTCGAAGGTGGGACTGTAGACGCAATGTTATTGACATCAAGCAACACTGCATGGTTAATTACTACGTCTACATGTCAATAAATGAATGAAGACGTGTTGTGAAGGAAGTCGACATGGAGACTTCGGCTCCAGTCACACACCGCGTGGAATGCCTGGAATGTTTAGTCTTCACATTTGTTGTCCCATTGAAGCAGCTGTGGCTTAGTCTAAGCAGAGTTAACTCACCATTCGTCGTGATTGTTCAAGCCTTAAAATGTGTATCACGTTTAAAAGAAATATTCCCTAACTGAAATCATTTCACTGTTGCCGAGGCAAATGGCCCTCCCTAGTGTTCGATTTGTACTTCGTGGACATGACCTCGTCTGAAAATAACTGCTTGCCTCAAGGCGGCGGGACGCTCCGAGGTGCTCTTAGTCAATGCAAGCTTATAATCAGGTAGTCTTCTTTATCATAAGGGTGTTTGGTGGGTACCTCTTGTCTAAACAATCGCTTTCACACGACAGTTGCTTAGTGTTGATACTAACTATGGCAAATCTACACACAGGCCTGAGCATTTGGGCTTAAATTACAATGGTGACACACACGTCTGAGTTGTTGGTTACTCTCACCTTGCTTCCTCCTCGCTTACCTCGCGACCTTGTTGAATCTCACACTCGCATAAGCGCAGTGGCCTTGGAAACGCCGAAGCATTACGGCCTAATTAGGCAGTTTATCGTCGTTGAGCTCCTTTAATAGGCCTCAACTAAAAATCACAGTATGCACTGGTACGGTCACTAGTGACTACGAAAAATCAATTGAGAAATCATGGGCGATTTCCGATCCAGTTGGATTTCCTACTCATCGCCTCTTGTGATGTTCAGTTGTTAATATAAATGTTGTTATGTTAGCAACTTGATTAAGTGGTTGATTTTAGTTTGTTCAGGTGGCTTCATGTTTTCAGCTCATTCTCCTACCGGTAGTTGGGCTAGCTTCAAAACGATTCTCTGATGTCAAGTAAAATGGAAAGGCTTAATTCCTCCTACTTCACTCCTCCTCAAGTGCTTGGCAGTATGAGGGCAAACCAGCAGAACGTTGTGTGTGCACGAGTAGACGTAAGCCACGTCAGTGAAGTGGAAACAACAATTCCCGCGGTACACACAAGCATATTATCAGAACTGTGGGTTAGAGGCGGTTCGGAGGTAGTTGCTAGGCCGAAATCAGGAGCTGCCTGTCGCATTCGGAAATCGAATCAACTAGCCGTTGCAATAGAGACCGTTTAACTCTGATGATGACCTGCCATTAAATCTGTTTTAGGCGTTGTGGTACAAGCTTCGGGCGATTGGAATGCTTTCAACTGGAAATAACAACTGGCCGTCAGGTTACTGAGGCTGCTTTTGGTAGGTTGCTTGGCACTAGATAACGCCCGAAATACTTCGATTTTCTAATACTGGCTTTACTAGAGACGAGATTTGTGGAGGACTAGGTATACCCATTGAAATGAAAGTTGTACTTAAAACGGCTAGCACACCTTCGGCTTGGTGGCTTACCTTCATGTTTCATCTATGTGCGTTAGGTTTCTTTATGTCGCAGTATTTTATTATTAACTAATAAAATAGCCTCTTACTACAGTGTTAATGGAATTTAAGCTCTGCATTTACCTTGATATTAAATTCGTTTGTACGAAACACTTGACCTTTTGGAATTTTTTAATATTTGGTGTTTCTGAAAAAAGACAGACGAAGAAGCTCTTTAACTTGACTTCATTTCCGCCCTACAGTGTTTTAAACAGTGTTTGTCTCCATATCGCGGATGACATATCGGTATTGTTAAATAAATCAGTGGTTCGAACTTTTTTAAAACAGGTAAATTTGATCACTGAAAATCTAATGCTCTTTTCGGTGTGGAATCACAGAAGATCGAAGTTGTAATCGCCCGGGGAATAGAACAGAACGTGCATCCAATATAAGGTGGCATCTGCCTTCATGACAAGTTCTGGGTGTGCGTTTCACGAAGAACACACCAGACTCCATGTTTAGGGGACCTTTCACTTGTGGACTGCAATCCTGTCAAGTCTTTTAAGAGCTCCGCTAATGGGTACTAATCTGCTTTAAAGAATTCTTACAAACGGCAGCAAGTGGTTTCTTAAGCAGTCAGGTGAAATTCTAATCTACTTCCGAAATGATAGCTATTTTGGAGCAGTTGATTAAAATTCAAGTTGATTTCCATCATTTAATGAGATTGGAAAATAACTCTGTTGTAATCAATTTTGATTATAACTTGCTGCTACTAGTAAAATTCGGAAACATTTTTGCGGAAATTTTTTTAGCATTCAACGGTTTTGTGCTTTTGTAAATTAGTAACTTTAGTAAGATACGGAGATAAAGTGGGAAATATGCAATTTTCTGATTCAGTGGAAATAGGTGTTCTTGTTAGTCGAAACTAGGAAGGAAAAAATTATGCTGCATTATTATTTGGCGCCATTGAAGGGCTGACTACTTTTGAAAAATCTGAACGTGCCTATTTGAAAAAAAAACATGTTTATGCTTTACTGCTAGCGCCTTCTTGAGATGCATTATTTGCGTTTTGCTTCACATTTATGAATTGTACGAATTCACACCACAGCCTGAACTCTCGACATTGGGGATGCGTTTGCAAAAGCTGGCGCAATCCAGATGATTATACCTAATTTAACTTACTCATTCGCTATTACCAGGGGCCTTAAGGACTGGGTTAAGATGGTAGACGGGTTTTGGTCGAGCATCACTAGTACCCAACAAGGGTGGGCATGATGAGTCTCACTGCTATTTGCGATTAACCAATTTGCAGTCAAATCGTTTGATGGAAGGTAGTGACCAGGCCAATTTCGTCGATAAAGGTAATAATAAATTCTGAGGTTTAAACAGGTATCTGGTTAAAAAATCGGACTACGACCCGAGAAGTGTCAAAACGCAATGCTCCTGGCGTGCGCGACGCGCATGTCGAGAAAGCGAGGTGAACCCGCCGCCGCCACCGCCGCTCGCACGCCGTGCGCACACACGCACACACGCACGAATGTGCGCATGCGTGCGTGTGCTTTAATGACGATCACAGGATGGAGAAGATGCGTCCGTGTGCGCTTGCACATATGCACGCAGACATGTGCGGTGCTGTCCCAGCAGCCCACACACACCCCATCACCTCCTCGTCCTCTTGTTGCGGCTTCTGCTTCGGAAGACCTCGTTCTCTAACCCACATGACGGTTGCAGAAGGCGGATCCACCTAACGGAGCTTTCTGTGATGATTTCAGCTGTTTTAATTTGTTGCATTGTGTGCTTCATGCTTCCTGGCAAAGGTCATTCCCTTAAATTAGGGCAACATATGCGATTAGCCTCCCACAGTCGACCACGAGCATCGGATGGATACACTAATTCATACTGGCAGCAACGGATGGGCCACCCCTATCTATGGTTTCCTAGAAGAACCAAGTGGAACCAACTGGAAGTGCGGAATTGTTGTGAGTAAATTTGTAGATCTTGTCCGCACACATATTTTCTTTACTTGATTGTTTATTAGGCCTTAAAGTGCAACGATCACTCCTCTTAAATCCTTTTCTATAAAACTCTGAGCAATGCTTGGAATTACTTTGAGATCCGGGGGTTCATGCGCGTTCACGCAGCAAAACGTTGAGTATAAATGAGTATATTCTTCAGATAGCAGAATGGCTGGAAACACGTAGTCTCCGCACAGAACATCATGTGACACCACTTTTGTGTTATGAATAAAGCATCTTTTTTTCAAAAGTGGGAGTAAACCAAGCTCAATCGTCGATTGATTGGTCTTCCGGAAGGACGTAAGTCTTTGAATTAGTGGCTCGGTCTACCCGGGTTCCCTTGAACTTCCCGAGTATATAGATTGTTCTATATTATATTGAAGGAGGGCCATTGAGGGTTAGGGTTGTTTGAGCATGAGGCGACTCCATTTTTCACGTAAATTTCAAACTGGTTTGTCACTATTTGCGAGATTATTACTTATAAAATATATCAGACATTAATTGGAACCTACAAAATGGTCTTCAGGGACATGTATTCGTAATTTGTAGTTTGACTATTACACGACATCAAAGCTTATCCGTCAAGACAATCACTAGGAAAGGACGCTGTCTTTTCAAGGTAAAAATGGGTTTCAGTCTTTCTTTGTAAAAAAAACTGAGTTGCTTTATTCCATCACGATAATTTTCAGGCCTGGAGGGAGTGATTTAAACAACTCCAAGGATTCGCTCAAGCAAGGGTAGTTCCTGGTGGGTACGCTTAGGCGTGACCGGAAAATGCTCAAGAAAGCAACACCGTAGCGGCATCATGCCACACTTCTGGACAATGGGTGCTCCTCATTCACCGCAAAAACCAACGCTTCGTAGGCTCTTTTCACACACCCACAAGCATTTGATTTTGGCCTGTGGTAGGTCAAATGTTATCGTGCACTCTCACGAGCAAGGTGCTTCCGTTTGGGTTGTCCGGGTGCTATGTCGTAATTCGCGCCGTCCCTTTACCCACAAGAGATGGCCGCCATGGGCGGTACTCTCGGCTCGACCAGGTTAACCACCCTTTTTTGCATGAATCGCGCTCAGCAGGTAGTAAAATTCAACATCTTTGTGTCAGATATAACACGAAATGTCCCATGCGGTTCCTTTCAGTGTCATTGTAAAATTTTCCTTAGGACTTAGAGCATCCTTTTGAATTTACGGAAAGAAGAAGGGCTTCTTATTTTAAAATCAAGATCATTATTTAGGCACCATGACACAGCTATCTGCTACATGTTCCAATTGAGTTTTTTCTAGGTTTCATTAGTCTAAATTTCTTTGTGCCTCGCTTGGTCGAATTTGCTTATTGACCTAAGAGGATTGAGTTATTTCCAAGTCGTGTCACGGCATCGTTTTGGCACTAAAGTGAACTCATCTGGGCCAAGATGTTCAGGTTAGTGTAAGATATCAGAGCCGAAAAACTAAGTTTGAGTAAGGAGATGCTTCAACTTATTTTTGGGTTCTTTTGACCTAGTGAGCACGATCAGAATGCACTTTAAGGCAGCTTTAAAAGGGTCAGCTGTATGAGAGCGACAAAAGCAAAAGTGCATTTGCTCACACAAATTCCTTTGGCCTCTTAACTACTTAAGACACCTCTGTGTAACAATTACCCAAGTTACGTAAATCAGAAAATGGTGGACATCGGGTGGTTTAACAGACATTCGAAACGTTAAAATTCACTATTGATTTTGTCTTGTAATTTCGCTGGTTAAGGATCGCTCCCGGTGGTCTCTTGGTTAGTCCCGAGCACAAATGCGGTTTAGTAACGTGTTTCCTTAAAATCTTGCAAATGTACAGTTTCAGGTCCAACTCCCAAGGACCTACTTACGTCGGAGGAAGTAGCAGCACATGAGAGGGCCATTCAAAAGGCGGATGAGTCCCAACAGAGCCTCCGACGCACCCAAAGGATACTTCGACTGCAGCACCTTCAGTGGTTATCGCATCGAGAGTTCATGGCCTCATTTGGCAAGCTGTCTAAGCGGAGCGTCATTGCTGTCACAGACGAACCAATCACCGTGGGAACATCAACAACGGAGGGAAGCCAAGAAATAACGCTCTCAACAAACGAGAAATCCAATTCAACCGATGGAATACTGCCTGTCTCAGAAGGTACAGATTCCACGACAATTCCACCACCATCTACTGATGGTGGTCAGTTTCAAGAACTTAGTGCTGTCGCGACGGTTCATCGTCTTGCAATCCGATCGAACACGATATCAATATCGGGCGGCGTTTTGCGGGCGCGGTTACGATATTTAATACAGCTGCATCGAGCTATTGAAGGGCAGCACAGCCTCTCCGTGGAAGTGCGGTTGCACCCACAATATCCGCCTATCTACACTGGGTAAGAGTCCACGCTAAATACATTATCTCAATAATTCGTTTCCAATGTGATTGTGGAGTCGATAAGTCGGCGAAATGGTTCAAAGTGAACCGGAGATTTTCAGACTCAGCATTCATGCTTCCCTAATAGCATCCCAAAAAGTATGTTCACCATTCCGTCGTTTGAGCCCTCATCAGTAAGATTAGTGCTACTAAGAAACTTCACCGTTTAAAAATCTTCCATAACCTTTTTAATACTTATAAGCCAGTTAGTATCTTTATGAAGTGTTTGCCAAAATAGTTGACAGAAATTACAGACAACTTTGGCTGTTTTCTGCGTCTACACAAGCGAATGGCAAAACGCATGGTTTGAGTGCAAACTGTGTTTCGGTTAGCTGCGTATTGTATCGACATTGACCGGATGCTTGAGCTATCAACCAAAGGTGTCATCAGACACAAAAGCATCTTGTCAATATCGATAAAAGGAATTACAATCGGTCAAATGGCTATTCATTTTAAATTATTGAAAAATCAGACGGTCTTAGGCATGCGTTGTATTACATACGAATTGAAAGGTATCTATTTCCGAAGTATTCCAGCGCAGAAATAGCAGTTTTTGTAATTCTGGGGTGCTGGCCAGAAAACTTGGTAGTTTGTTTATTACGTCCACACAAGAAGCCGTTAGTAGTTGACAATTTGGCAAAGCAGTATGTTAATTTGCCGACTCGCTCGTTGTGTAAAAAACTCTAATGACTCTTGCTGGGTGGCCCAGCTCCGTCGCATTTACGCAATTAGGGAGTGTGTAGCGCAGCAAGAAAAAAAAGGTATCGACTCTTCGTATGTGTGTGAATATATGCGTTAAGCAGAAGTCACTGCTACCAGTGTGTGTTGGAGATGACCGTCGTCTTTCCATGGCGTGTTTCCAGAGTACTAGGGTTGCGAGAATACCAAGATAGATGTCTAACTAACCTCGGCCAGGCAAAGCCAATCTTGAGGAGGTACTCACAGACCATGTCAGCTGATCTTCACATGAGACTCAAAGGAGTTTTGACGCATAAAGTTGCGGGCCATGAGGCACGCTCCAAACCGTCATCTTAGCCAATGAGTTTCTTTGGACACGACACCGGTCAGCCTCGACGACAGCCCAACGCTTAACGCTTCGCCACATTTAAGTGATTAGGATTTTGTTTCAAGGCTTCACTGTGGATAGCTCTTTTGAGTTCCCACTTCACTGTTAGTGATTTTTTATATATGAAGACCATCGTTCGTAGCGGGCAACTGGTGGTTATATTGGTGTTTTTTATGGACCGCTGAATGCAATGCACTCCTCAAAGTGATCTGCAGTTGATTTTACATCGAATTTTATTGTCACCTGATAGTGGGCTAAAAACTCACATTCCTCATTTTCGTACTTCTTATTTAAACATTGTTACACGGTAGACCATGATATTTTAAATTTTTTGGTGATTCGCTAATGGTTAGCTTTAGGTCATCCTCCAATTCATATAACAAACGATCCATTTCGAAATCAGTTCGTCTCCCAGATTGTGGTCCGTTGCCAAGGTCTGAACCACCATGCTGGAAAGGGTGATAAGTTTTCATATCCAAGTCACTAAGCTGTACAGAATCTTGCAACAACAGCGACGTTCAATTTGATCTTCGTTGTCATGATTGTGCACTTTAGAGCTGACATTTGGTTTTCATGTCGAGTTTGAAGAAATTTACTTGGTACACAAGTTTCGAAATGGCAAATACGGTCCAAAAACAATACGTGAGTGTTTATTCGACCTTACACCGAGACGACAGTACTTACGAGTGTCCTTGGGGTCGTTAAATGGAAGCAATTTAGGTACCAATTTATTTTGTGCATATTTGACGTTAAAATTTTGCTTTGAAAGCCTGGCCACGCGATAGCAGTGTCTTGTTTTTCCACATTCTGTTGATAAAAAAGAAGTACTTATTTTTGCCATATTTCGGACATATTTTAACCCCGGCATGGGGTGTTGCGCCTCGCCCGAGTCGCTGAATAGGATTTGTCCAATTTCGCGTCTTAGATACTCGAGAAGACAAGAAGGTCAGAGACGACAGAAACAACCGTTGACTACGTGACTCAACTAATTCGTCTTTTGCGCCGCTGCGCATGAAAAGTTGTATCTGGGCATAGGGGGTGTTGATCAATATAGCTAGGATGAGCCTGTAAACGTGTGGGGGCAGATGGTTTCGCAAAATCGATAGGAACGCTGTTAGAAAGTCAGAGTGGCAGCGAATGCGACAACCGGATTGATGGACTTGAAACTGCCCAATTCACTACAAAATATTTGAGCTTTCGATCTCATTTTGAATGTGTTGCTATTACCCTGGCGACGTGCAACGCCTATGTTAATGAACTTAAATAAGCACGATTCACAACAGATCCAACCCCTAATTTGAGAACTTTGTGTGATAAATTAATGGTTTTGTCAAGTTTGACTTCTCTGAGTGTATCACCGTACCTCGAAATGGAAGGGCTGTATAATATTGTAAAACTCACCTAACCCTAGATGGTCCACAACTTGTATTTCGCTTCCCGAATTTTTTTCTTCGACCAACTGGGAGCTCGACTTTCGGCTGGGGGGGGGGAAGTTGCGTGCACTCCGGGTGGTCGAAGTGCCTCCCCACGGCGAGGACCAGGGTTCAAACAGCCGGCAGTCACTTTTCATGGCACTACCCGTATCTTCAGGATTGTTCCCCTCCCAGCCTCCCAAGGCGATTTTCGTAGCCTGATCGGGCTAAACTGATTGTTTTCTACCTCGCTGAATTCATCAACAATTAACACTTTGTTACGGACCACGGACACTGGCTTTTGACTGAGGTAGTCGTACATCAGCTTCGAACATCACCCTTCGTCTCGAAAGTGTTTGCCTCGGTAAAGCTTGATAGCCTACATGAATTGCTGCGAACAAAATATGGAGGAGGATGATTCGGAGGAGAGAGGGTCAAGAGAAGGCCTTCCTTCAATAAATTTTAAGTCAGTGGTGGTTGATTTTTGCTGTGAAACCCCTCTGCACCATCCCCAGCGGAGCTGTTGACATTGTGGTGGTCGAGTGGGGTGCTGCACTGGCGAACCGCGCCCCCACCTTACCCCTGAATAGCTGCCTAATCGCCCCCCTGTCCGACTGGGTGGTCCGACCGCATTCATGCCTGACCAAAAGGATATGCGCATAACAAAGCTTTGGGGCCTGTAGATAACGTGGTAAGTTTTTTCAGCTGGGTATCTCTTTTTTGCACTGTGCCTGTGGTAGGTTTAGGCCGTACTTGGACTGTTTTTGTGCCTGCTGAAAAACGCAAACAACAATCATTACTTGCTGGATCGGACAAGGTAAGCTACTTCCTGATTTCGTGCTTGAGGTGGCGGAGGCCTGGAGTCCGCGGCAAAGGCTCATGGTGTGGCTTAGATGTTTCCAGTTGATGCCAAAGCTTGTCCATGTCCTAGCTATCGGGCATTGACTTGTATCCTCAGTTTGTAATCGGTTTTAATAATAGAACCCTGTGTTAGCTTGCATTCCAACGGTGGCAGTCGGGTCTAGTTTTTCTTGTCTAATGGAAATGATCCTCCATAGGTAAACCATAATACACAATTAACTACTGATGCGAAAGTGTTCAACGATGAAACCACCGATATGGTGACAGCGTAACGGATACACGCTTTAGAGCTTCAAAATCTGTAATTGAAGTTATGTTCTTTGGTATTAGAAATCGATGAATTTGACTCTGGGCGTCCAAGTGAGCAGCGCAGTGAGCACATTGGAACTATCGGCTGTGATCTGGAAGCAATACATTTCAGCATACGATACGAACACGGCCTTAAAATGAACTCTATGCATCAATTTTCGATGAGATTCAGTTTGCGGCTTGTGGACTTCAGGATAAGTTAAAAAATACTAATTATTATCGGGATGGGCAATCTTGGATAAATTCGTCAGCTCTTGTTCTGGCGGCGTATTGATTGCCATGTTTATTAAGTAAAAAAGAGAAGACTTCTTTGTAGCAAATGGCAAAATCTTATTTCAAAATTATCGTCGCCAGAGCAACAACACGCCCTTAGAAAGGAAGGGCAGAACTATCAAGGTATTGGGACCTATTTTAGTTTACCTCACGCAACATCAAACTTCCACTTAGAACGAGCGTATCCTCGCAATTTAACCACCAGAAACCTGGTTGCCATGCATCTGTAGTTGTTGGGTCTATTGGTGTCTAAAAACCCAACAGCAAATTTTTCGCAATGTCTATTTGCAGTCAGGAAATTTCGAGTCCTGTCTGATGACCATGTGGCAGGTCGGGCTCAGTGTGCTGAATTGAATCGTGACTGTGGCTTTTATTTTGTTACACGGAATCTTGTTTAATCGGAGGCAATATACAAAGCCTTGGAAGTGACTTTGATATTAATAAAATGAATTTATGAGGCTTTGGGCCAGAGTGCCACCCCCTCTCAATTTCAGACTGGAACCAAGAACTTGGTCAGGTCAGATTTGTGATATTGAACGTCAAGACTTGAAAGGGCATCCAGCCATTTAATTCATGCCGATTAATAGTTGATTTTTTACGTAATATGACGTGCCCATCGATTTGCATCTATCGACAGTCCACCAGATTTAGATGTACACTACAATTAACGATAACAAAAGTCACGCATCACGGGTTATGGAAAACCGTCAGTCATGAAGCAAATTTGTGGGCTATTTTTGATGCTACCACAAGCCCACTTTGCACAACTAACGATCCTGAATAGAAGACGGGGTGGACATCCGCTTTGGCGGTTGGACTCGCGTATGCTTCTGGCGGTGTCTGAACCAAGCCGCGATAAAGCGCTCCTGTCAACTGTGTGCCTTGAAAAGTAACTCCATTCAGGCCAACGTGGTTCTGGCGAAGCGCGCACATGCAGGCCAGCATTATAACCCACCACAGAGGTGGTAGACCCGTCAACATCATTTGTCTGCGCCAATGTTATCACGTTTCAGGCTCGCATGAATGGGTGTTTGGACCTTCCACCGTGTAAACCCAATGCCATCCAACCTCCAACGAAGTATGCTTTCCGAACCACACTTGTCACATGAGTGTTTTGTACGGGCCCAAAATATCAGTTCTACTGAAATCGTCTTTGGTAGCGGCTATTATAAAACACCTAGTCCCCTTTTGTAAATATTGGTAATTTCGCAGGGCTACTTTGACGCGCCCTTCTGTCAAGTTAATCCATAATTACCTTGGTTTATGCTTTATGATGCGCTGTTTAAAACAACAACATTGGCGTACTGTGTGTGATTTTACTACCACACATCGCTATCTTGTTTGCACAAACACACTCATCCCGGAGGTGTCAGCTTCACCTTGCACACCCGCTTGCAGTCGAAGTGAACAAAAATTGTTCACATGCGGCTATACATTGAGATGCTCATTAAAAGGACACACGGTCTGCAACTCCATAAAAACGCCTCGTGATCGTTCGGAGAGTGGAGTCTCCACGATTTGACGAGCTTTCCAGTGGTAAGTATAGCCGCATTGCTATCACCTTGGCACACCCAGACCCCTGGGTGGAACCGTGACTGACAAGAGCCACTAGGTACGCAAGGTTTTTGTCACTTTCTTAGGTGGTAGCACCGGCGTGGCGCTGCTCATAGGTAGCAAAACCACATCCGATGAGTTTCTGGCGCCCCCAGTTTTGTGATCCTCACATACACCCAAGATAGATAGTTGGTGTAATTGAAAAGAGATGTGACGACGTCAATTGTCGTTCAGATTACCTCAGTACATACATTCGGCACACCGTAGAACCTAAGTCGTGTTCTTTTGTATTTCCAGGACCGTTGATGATGTTTGCACGTACTGGCCAGCTGATGCACCTGGTTCACGGTGCTCGTTGAAAAGAAAACGGTTCTACCAGAATGGAAGCATTTGTTTGTGCCACATGCCTCCGGGTATCTACCACCAGCGTCTTAAGATAAATTTCGGCAACGTGTTCGAAGGCGCACAGATCTCTGAGTTCTTAATCAACCTCCTCTTCTCTGGACAGGTAGGTAAATGTAGCAAATGGCGTTGGCGGAACAGACAACAGACGTTTTGAGGAAAAGGCTGACTTGGCCTTTTCTGACAGTCCACTATGAGATCAGATATTGACTACCTTGTTTGCGCCAAATTGAATACCTTTATGGCAAACACTTTTGGTATTTTGCATGAGAGGGCATCCATTAAGACACATTTTGATTCGTTTGACATACCAAAAATTGTGCTGCTATTTGGGTACTCATCGGTGGCGACCAGAAAACTGGCTTGGCGTAGGTTTTTCTCAAATTCTAAGGAACTCACGTCCATCAATGCTGTACACACAGGCTTACAGAGAGTCATCAGCTTGGTATTATAACAAGGGCGCAAACTTTTTGAAGACCTGCTGAGCTAGTGTTAGCGGTCAATAAATTACACTACTGCCAGCCCAGCCGAGCATGACCTCTTAGCCTGTCATTAACACATACACTTGACGCGTAAAAGCCTAGATTGGTCGGCGCATAAAGAAATGACATGTTAATTAACCTCCATTTCAGAATCTCAACCTTTACGTGACGGTACGAATACTGACAGCAAACAACGCTGCAGTAGCCTGCTTGCAGTCCAAAATACCAGTTTCCTTTTCTTCCGTCTAACGGGACACTGCAAATAGTTCCTAGCCAGTGCACAAATTCGCGAAGTTGACAAGGAGACCAAGCCTCAACGAAGATGGGGACGCGAAGGGCACGACCGTGGACATTTTGTACAGCAGGGACACAACCCCATCAGTGGTGCGCTTGCTCTCGAGGTCCTCTCCCACTCCTCCCATTCCTGTCGTAAGTTTCCAGAGATTACCGCAGCATATAAAAAAACCTTTGTACATAGCACCAAAACAGACTACCTCCAGTGTGTACAAGCTTACACCCTGAAGTCCTTCGGTCAGTTGTTTAGCATTTTAAACCTCTTAACCTGCCGGTGTGAATTTAACTGCTATTCAGATATTTTGTGACCGTACTTCAATAAATCAAAGATTTTTTTGTAATCAACTTCTTACGAGGCTACAGTGGGGCGGTTGATTTGACATCACGGAACGAGGAAAATATTTTCGGTGAGTATGACTAAACTGATGAATTGGCGAATTTTTGCACGAGAGGTTTAATTCAGCGTCACCGCTAAAAACACAGGCTAAATGGTTTATGGGTAAACTAAAGGGCGGCGGCACTGAAATCTCATCTTGCTGCGTAGTTGCAAAACGGGGAGAGTAGTAGCACAGAAAGTAAACATTAAACAGGCGTAAGTGGTCTTGAGTTGGTTATTGGACTGTCAACAACACCTTGACAACTAAGCAAGAAAGGTGCCGGAGCGGGTGCCACAGAAACCCTAATAGTGTATCCAACAGGCGTGATGCTAAAAAAGGTGAAATAAGGCCCCTTATTGCAGAAAACGCAGGCGTAGGCGTGGGTTGACGGTCCCCGTTGGACAGGACACAACCCAGTGGAACACAAAAAGGCAAAGTGGCGCCCCGCTTACAGGTATGCTGGAAATTACAATCGCCTTCTGGAGTAGGGTGGTGTGTAGAGAAGGTGCGATGGCAGTGACCGCATTAATAAATGGGCAAATCAAGCGAACGATCTCGTTTTCTGAAAGGAAGTCAACTTACAAGGCATCTAAATCAATGAGCAAGCCAGATTTTCCATCAATAACCTCGTAAGAGTTTTCGAGAAGCTTTATTCCACATTTACAAGGGTTTTGTGGTTTGCGAGCCCACAGACAACTGGCGCAGCAAGACAAGGCTGATGACTTGATGGCATTCAGATTAGCGCGGAATAGGAGACTACACCCGCTGATACCCTTTCGCTTCCTGAATTGACTAGAAATTAACTCATAAGGGACACTTACACTCTAATGAGTGTGCAAGCACAGAAGCAAACAGTGATGTAAAGTGTGGAGATTCCTTGTTAAGTAAGGCGTAAGTTGTAGAAATAACAATGTTTAAAGAGCACAAATTTGCTTGATTAGAGTTGCAAAGTCTCCAAGTTGGTGTTGAAGCAGGCGGTCACAGTTAGAGTTCATTCAAAGTCTCATCGGTCAGCATTGGAATTTTTATATCTAGAAGGGCAAGATAAAAACGGCTAATCATCGGTAAAACCAGTTTTAAGCGACAAGGGTTTTGACCTCACTGAGCGGACAATAAATGCACGTGAATGCTGAGGCAACTGAGCAGAGAACTACCGTACAAATGATCCCCATTTCACTGATGTACTAACGTCAAGTTTCGCTGTTAGAAAACAATAGACACGTGCTACTTGTACGAGCCACATCCATGCATGTATGTGTGTCTAATGTGAGTGGCAAGGACAATTATTGAAGTCATGAATTAAGGCTAAATTTTTTAAAAACAGGAAACAGTTGGGTCTTTACCGAAGTGATTCTCAATCTGCTGGAGCAAATATTCATCCTCAGGGCCGGCAAAGTTAATGGCGAGACCACCTTTGCCGAAGCGGCCGGAACGACCAATGCGATGAAGGTAGGTTTCACAGTCGACCCTACCTTGTCTGTCCAACGGTAGACTCCAATTTATAACCAAATTCACCTACCAAATTGAGGGCAACATTAACGAGTAGGAATTATCACAAAGAGCACTTGCTCATTCGTGTATCTCTTGACATGACTCAGCATCCGCTTTTGAATACCGAACCCACGACAGTGAAGTGCATGCATCCGTGAAATTGGTTAAGGACTGATTTTTCGAAAAAGGAGATTGCATAATGGACGCGATGATTTAATTTTGGAGACAGACGCTTCCTACAGTGATTGTCCAACGTCCCCAATGATCTGCAGATTTAGCAAGGTCGCTAAGTACTAAAGTTTGGCGTTACAACTGCTGCCCGAAATGCCTAATTATTGGAGATGATGGCCAAGTGTTGGAGTGCTGGTGCAGGTTTCTTCAAAGCGTAGTGGAAAGTGGATAAGGTGGCGGTTGGTCGAGTCTTGTTGCAGGCGCTTAATGAATATTGAACAAGTAAACCAACCTCCTGAGCATAACTACGGAGAGGAGGAGTGGCGATAGATACTACGTGGGGGTGGCGGAAGGCGACAAAAAGAGGACTGTTGGTGAGTCTAGCATAGTCAGCTGGCATGAATAGATGAATGGGGATACGGCTTTTTAAAATAGAGGTAAATGCCATATTTTAGGTCAAAAGTTTCAATGGAAAAAAGAGGTTAAGTTCCCTTCTACGCTGAGCACGAGTTAAGCGAGGCTGGCTAGATTGCTGGTGCCGTGCACACCGACAAACGTGTTTTTATGCGGGAACATGGGCCGTAGGTGTGCTACCAACAGAACAGGCATCACGTTAAAATTGTGGTTATAAAAAGAGCGACACTGAGGGATGATTTTGCTACGATGCTTTAAAGGCCTTGAATGATATTACTGACTCGACATTTTGACGGCAAGAATTGTTTATAGAGAATACTGAGGAAATTAACAACACTACCACGCCAAACACTGATATCAGTAAATTTATGACCAAGTCGACACTCGACTAAAAGCATGATCATAGAATCAACAGCTTCAAAAGCGGGAGACCTGACTAATAGTGTGAATACGGTAAAACTTAAACATGATACATGAAAACGAGAAGTTGCAGAAAAGGCTAGCCCGCAATTTCCAGTCACCGTTTACCTGAGGAACATCGAGACCACGCGAGCAGAGATTTGTGGTAACGAGGACGCGGAATTCGGCTTTACGGAAGCTGTTGATCACCTCCTCGCGTTGATGTACATCCAGTTCACCTGAAAGGAGGGCCACCTTATGACCGTCTTTGGTCATCTCACACTGCAACCAACTCGCTTCTTTTCGAGTCTAAATTCAGAATGCAGACAGTCCATCGTGTCCCCTTAGAATTTAGGGTTTGGAGGAAAAATAGAGCAACATGCGATAGAAAGATCTAGGCGAATCGTTTTGTTTACAGGAACAATTATACGTCTAGTAATAAATTCTGTTGCAGATAGTGCACAGTTGATGTTTGCACGGTTTTTACATCAGATGGCTTGGATAAAATGACAGCAAAAAGTCCTGTGTTTGAAGAGAAACATAAACGTGCACGGCTTTTTACTAAAATAAAATTGGCGCCATCAATGACGACGATTCAGGACACTTGAGTCCGAAAAGACACTCTAGGTCTAGGACCAACATAGACACCACCAGGTACCACATCGGCAATAGTGCGAGCGATTCCCAAAAACATAATTCCGTGCTTATGCGCAGCTTTGATTTAAATGCAACTCTCTACACAAGCATTTTCTAGGTGGGTATTTTTCATTGGCTGATTTTGGCTTTAAGATGAAGGCCTTGAGTCGACGCCGGGTAAAATGACGCGAAGTTGGAAGTGAATTTCTTTTTCGACTGACGACGCTTTGCAGGGTAATATGGCATAAATGCGACAGTAAATCGATATTTTTTGTCTCATGGACGTGAAAAACACAATCATTAGTTCTCTGCATTTTAAAAAACAAGGCGACATCTCAAAAAGAGAACACGTATTAACAATTCGAGTACAGGCAGTTTACAAAAGCGGCTTATACTAACAACCTGGCGTTGGGAAAACGGGATAATTCCCCAAGGGAAAAAGATATAATTTCAACAAACACTGATAAAAAAACGTACCGCACAAAAGATGATAGCCTGGCCCACATGGAAGGAGCCGTAGATCTCACTGAGACGAGCAAATTTTTCTTCAATGCTAAGGGCAAATAAGTACACCTGTTTTATGTTGGTGAGCGTCAGCTGGTTGCGTCGAACTCGAAACTCAACGGGGTCGGATATGATTGATCGGGCAAATTCGACCACGTCCTCGTCGTAGGTTGCTGAAAACATGAGGAGCTGACAGGTGTCGGGAAGCTTCCTAGAAGAAAAGACAATGTCAAAAGATCGTTTAGACAAGGTTGAAATGACGATTTTAAAGAAGACAAGAGCCTAGGACAAAAAAGCAAAAATCCAAGAGAATGGCTCGTTGCACGACAACAACCATCTAAAAAACACATTGATGATGCTGAAAGTGAAATTAATGCCAAAAGGAGGGACACAAGGGAACAGTATGTGGAGACAAATCCCAAAAAAAAATGGAAATTGCAACCGAAGCGCACCGCGTACGAAAAGAGTTTAGTAATAATGATCCAACTTGCATATGGTCAGCCACTATGAAAAGATAACTCCTCCGTGATTGGCCAACCCTTGAACCACCTCCTCCATAACATCACTTACTCCATTCGGAAGACAACATGGCCTGTTTCAAATGGTGGCTAGGTGTGGTGGAAGCGCCTCGATCTGCATCACAGCCTTCAATGTTCGCCAGACGGCCAATACAGGGATCCTCTCGTTAAGTTGTCTGTGTTCACTTTAATTCGACTAGCTCCGTTTCACATCTTGCACCAGCCTTCTCGACAAGCATTGTCCTGCACACTCCAACTCCCATGGTGCTTTATCACGCACTTCAAATTGCCGTCTAGCATTGACATGCTCTACAAAACCACTGTCATCACCGATGCGTTTTGAGTGGAGGCACTTCCCCGAGTTCATGCGACACTTCACGATCGAGCACACTAGTGCAACTGAGGTGCTCAAGTGGAATTCGATGGATGACTTTAGTACATGAGGCATCTGAAGAAGGTATCGTGCCTTGGTCTGTGACACTTGGACGCCACCAATGCAAACATCTGCATCTTCCATTTAACATCAACGGTTTCTCCAACGGTCACGCGGTTTCATAATTTGAGCACACACCCACACACTAGCCAGTGAGTCACTCAGGAAAAACACGTTTAAACTTGGCCTTTTCACAAGCTTACAGCATTTCGATGCATGCTTCAAACGCAATCTCCATAATCACTTTCCGAAAATGGTGATGATGTCTTCTGATCCTACTGCCCACGGTTAACTTGCGATCCCTACCACTCACTGGAACGACATCTAAACTACACAATGAGTTTATGCCACGTAGGCTGACGATGCCAGACTCTTACGAGTTTCGGCTGATGTCAAATCTGCTACGAAGACAACGATGTGTTTGGTGGTGCTCAAGCATTAACTAGCGGGCTCTTGAACCCCACAGACGGATTTCCGCTAGTCATCCCTTCCCTGAGGTCGTTCACTGACTCGGCTTTAAGTGGCAACCAACGCTACTGGCAGGCTGTGCTGATTTTCAGGAGCATGATGTCACTATAGACATTGTCAGAGCAGTAGGACTCTGACTCAGCACAGAGCTTGGAACACAATGACCTATCATCAACAGAAAGGCCGACAAACAGTGATGTTTGCAAATGCCTTTACAAAGAAATCACGTCGTTTTCATAACCAAACACACACACACACTTGCTTGGTTTGTATTACTTCGGTCTGTGGAACACCAACTCACAGTTGCCTGATTCAATTCCAAGTGAGGTTTACTTTAATCTCAAATAATATCCGCAGGTGCCTCCCCCCCAGTCAATGCTCATTTCCATTGCAATACCTTCAAACACAAAAATACTACAATTTACCGATTACGGATTTACCCATCAGTGATCGAATTGGCCAAGTAAATATTTGGACACTAAACAGATGTCTGAAGTTGCAAGTTCATTCGTGCGTTGTGAGGTGAATGCTCAGAGTTTGGCCATCACCACCTTCACGTTTTTCCGAAATCTACCAATGAGCACACGTCTGCGTATCCAGTCAATCCGTGATGTTGCCTTCACAACCCGTGTTGATTACTTGCAGCTAACGCTTGACATGCGCCTTCGTGGTCCGTCAATACCAATACATTCCTAACACAACAGATTAACTCCCCTCAATTCACCTTCTAACACCTTGTCAATTGGTTGGTCAGGTGGTTCTTTGAAGAGTCTGTCTACGGCTGAGAAATATCTCCTGCCAACTCGACAGTCGTACAAGTACCAACATGCTACCATTACTACCAATACAACTACACTTCTAGAAGTAATCAGACAACTGGAACTGTTACAGCGATGACTACTTTTGCCAACGCAAACACAGTGGTGACGAGGCCCACCCACGCACAACATCGACACTGCGTTTGGCGACGATGTCGTCAAAAAGCAGCTTCACGGACCTCATTCGAAAGGGGATGGCGTGGAGGCGTGGACACGGACAACGAGACTCCTGACAAACTCCCCAACCTAATCATCAGTGCATTCCGATCTCTCCTCAACACTACTTTCATCCTCCACAAGACAATTTGCGGTGTCAAGCCAAGCCATCATCAGCCACCCCAGCAATGTGCCAAATGATGCACTTTGGGTAAACGCTTTCCACCATAATTGCACAAACAGTAGAAACAGTGATTTCGTGAGCTTCGCAATGCCCCCACCCATGGCACGACAAAACAAGTGGTTTGAGATGACTTAATCTATGATGACGTATCGATCAGTCAATGTCATTCAGTCAGAAAGCGGGCGAGACTGTGGGACGTTAACCGCAGTGATCAAGCAGGACACATTGTCACCAGGCAATGGTGGCAGCATGCTGGACTGCAAGGAGTGTCGTTCACCAGTCACTGTCACGCTCTGCTGTCTACGACTCAACACTGGCTGCAGTATTGGCACCAACCGTAACGGCTTTACGCTGTTGATTGTTTGAGACGGCAAAACAATCCCTCTGAGCTCTTCGTTTCACCTGTTAATTGTTAAGTACACTAACGTATTTCGTGACTTTGACTAATGCCGAGTTAACAAGGGGATTCAATGCTTGACTTTTCGTGTTTCGTCACCAGTTGTCTTGCCTAAGACATTCAATTGACCTGGTTTATCTGCAGTGAGTTTTCGTCGACATTTCTTGATACGGGGATGGCAGAAGAACTTCGCGACAACGTGTCTCAACAATGGCCTACTTCCACCAACGCAATCATCCAAACGTAACAAAACAGTTAATGTCATTAGACATCGATACCACGTGACTGTATGTCTATGACTGCATTCGTTCATTAGAGTGGAAATATTGGCATTGTTCCTGATTGGTGGAGATTAGTGAAAAGGAGGCGACTCAAATGAACATAGGATTGTGTGGGTCAGTTTTACAATGGTCAAGGCGTATTCTACGTTGAGTCAACAACCGATTCTTATTTTGCGAACGGTTATCGCATCACTTTATTTTGTTGCTTAATGAGAGATTGTATCGATTGCTTATTTGGACTAACTCAGATTTTCTGCAAACCAAAAATTTGTTCTTGTAATCCTTTTATGGAATACGATAAACTAAGATATGTGTAACTCCTCACATACATGCGAATTTTAATTTTCGCGATTTGCTTACTCAGTTGGAATTTAGAACTGCTTTGACAACAAAAACTGTTTTTGTTTGCTATAATTTCCGTCTGTGGTTATCAAAAACCAAATTTTCCCAGTAGTTTCATCATTGTTTAATATTCGTCCTCTTCACTTTTAAAGAACACGAATTAGTAAATACCACGGTTCCACAAGTACAGGAGGAAAGATTGCCCACTTGACACAAAAATATTGCCCTAGTTAATATATTGACGCGGTAACTTGACCTTCACTCGATCTACACAATTTCGACAATTAATACTGTTTCTTGCGGGCATTTTGCGTACTTAACCGAAGCATTAACAAAAAGGCGGTACCATATACATGGGACCTTCCAGTTTGGTAACGGGAGGTAAGCACACAGGTGAATAAAATACTGTGTTAACTGCCGGGGCATTTATTTCCGGTACCTCGATGCCCAAAAATTCCATCTGAATCCATCGAATTGACAGCTTAGCAGTCTTTACTGTATTGCACAAAAGCATTGCAGAGGATAACGCAGAACGCAATGCAAAAATATGTCTTTTCATTTTTATACAACTATGTGAAAGGTGGGCTCGTACTTTTTTGTTTTAGACCTTCGGAATGATGACATCTGCCCAGTGTGAAATAGTACAACAAATTATTTGGTCTCGCTAAACCTTAAGTGATAAGACGAAGCGGCCAAACTGCACTGTTCAGATTGCTTCGCTCTTGCACGTCTAACAACACACGCCTCACGCAAACACGGCATCACGAAAAGGCCACTGCATAAAGTTCCTCATCAAGTCCACTTTCCTGTCTTTGTACAGTTAACGGGGTTGAATGAGTTGAAACCTAGTATTTCATCGAGTTATACTCATCGTACTCTGGTTTGTGACGAGGGAACTCTTGTTGACCTATAAGAAACAGGTTATTTTGGTGACTGCTGGGAATCGCGTAGCATCACACCACGATTTTCGACAGGTAATAGCATCACAAGTCCCTAATGCACTCAGATCTGCTCATTAACGTCTGAACAAACCGGGATTTTGCGTGGACGTGCTAACCCTTTTCCAAGACACTTACTTACTTCAGATATTGGATTGAATAGAAGTGAGTCAGTTCCGCAAGTTCTAAAAAATGTGTTACTACGTAATCGAAAATATTTTGTGGTCTCATCAAAAAGCATCTTCAAGTTTTGAAGCCGAGGTCAGGGGTGTTTCCCACATACTCGAACTGGTCATAATTCTTAACACGGCTTGTATTCGTATTTGTACTGACACATCCCATTTAACGAAGTCAAATTACAGCAGAGTAGGTTTCCTGGTAGACATTGATCCAATGACTTTGCAGAGTGAATTGTCGCGTTTAAAACCAGACGCATGCAAAGCCATTAATTGCACTGTTATAGTAGAAAATAATGGCATGTGGGAGACACTAAAACGTTTATCAAGAAAGGACTATTTGATTAAGGTCTTATGAAATAATTGCCAGCCTCACTGGAGAAATGGTATTCGGGCATGAAGGAGTGTTCGCTGCTCCCGACATACGCCAGTTTCGCCTAAAAGGCAGGACTTGGTTCCGCAATCGATTACATTACTGTCGAAAGATCTCTATTTACACAGTCAATAAACTGGTTGTCGAAGTTTGGCGTTTAAGTACCATGCAAAGGATCATTGTTTAGCATATTTTGTATTTTTTTATCTGAAAAATGAATGAACATTAATCGGTTTATGCAGTGACCGCTTTCCTTTTCAACGAAGTAAAATAGCTACACACACACGCCGGCGCACACACAAAACAAGCTGCAGTCTTTTTTAGTTATTTCGGCCTTTTTACATAACCACCAATCGTGATTCGAGAAGGTCAAAAATCAGATTTGCGAATGACTTGATACTTTTCCTTTCGATCTCATAAACAGATTCCTCAAGCCTCTGAAATTCAAAATTGCGGTAAGTGATCTCTGTGTGACTATGAAGCCTCTATGGAAAATTCGATGTGTTCGATACCGCCGCCACAGTTCAGGCACCCTCGCAGATTTCTTGCTAAGTCTTTTGGCATTAAATCTGTTCACCCCGACTAACTCTGTTTATCATAGACTCCCTCTGCGTATAACCAAACCTCACTAGTCCTCATTGTTAACACGCAATGACTCGCGCTCCCAGCTATTCAAACTTACGACCTACAAATTCGCAGGAACGGCCATGGTTGTTCACACACCCAGATTCGGCGGTCTGATAAACTCCTAAGCCTCCGTCGACTGTGGTTTTAATCACCCTTGTGTCGTTAGTGCTGGATTGGGCTGCAACAGCAGTAATAATTCATTTGCCCTTGTGTGAGTGTGAGACCCACTCAGAGGGCCCTTCAACACCTGATCCCTAATTTCGTAATCTGAAAAAACTTTTCCATATAATTGCAAATTAGTAGAAAGCCTATGGTGGTCGTGAA